GGCACATCTGGCTCTGTGAACGGCAGATAGGGGAACCCTTTCTTCTACCTCCAACCAGAGACAGCCTTGACCTCGGGGATAAAGGGCAGACTGTGGCCTTGGGGCATCAGGTAGACCCTGGCTACTCCTTGATCAGTGCTACTCAAATTCTATAGATCAGTTGAGCTCCAAATCGAGCAGGACTCATTCTTTCTTCGTCTCTCTGGATTAAGCCCCAGCCTTCCTCAATCAAGGAGGTGTAAGGAGCACAGTTTTGCAAGTAGAATTGGATTCCAGTGCTAGATCCACATTTACAAGCCAGCTGACCTTGGACAGGCCCTCGAAGCCATCAGAGTCCCACAGGATCTTCAGAGGCCTTGTATGGGTCCCTGACAAGGATCAGTGGACGTGCCTGCTGGTCCTCAGAGCGCCCTGCCCAGGGCGGAGCAGACTCTGCCAGGCCCTCCACGAGAGGACTGGAAAGGGCTTCACAGCAGGAAGAGGCTGCCATGAGGGCCTGGGAGCAGCCCCCCACCCCCCACCCCCAGGAGCATCCAAAACTCAGGGCCGAGAAGAACCCAGTATTGTTGAGAGTTGGCAGGGTCCCCGGAGGAGAACCATGTTGTGGAGGCTTCGGGGACTTAAACAGACTTGAGACAGGTTTCATTTATTTTTTAATTCATCAAATGTTTTTAACTCTTTCATGTGACGCACACATGTTCAGATGAATGCACAAAACATAAGTATGTTTGTTGCAGTGATGTGTGTCAGCCCCATGTGTTCCACAGGTCAAGATGTGCGGCACTGCGGGCACCACAAAACTCCCCCGCACTTCCCAGTCACTCCCCCCAGCTCCCCGCGTAGATCTCACACCCTGACTTAACTCCAGTGCTTCAGTTTGCCTGTTTTTTTGTTTTGCTTTGTTTTTTAAAGATTGTATTCATTATCTCAGAAAGAGAAAGAGAGAGAGCATTTGTGCAAGAGAGAGCAGGAGCAGGGGTGGGAAGGACAAAGGGAGAGAAAGAGGGAGAAGCAGACTCCCCTCGGAGCAGGGATCCAACGTGGGTGTGGGGGGGCTCCATCCCAGGACCCTAGGATCAGGCTTGAGCCGAAGGCAGACGCTTAACCGACAGGTGCCCCAAGTTTGCCAGTTTTGAGCCAAATCTCTATGGAATCATAGGAGAGGTACTTCGTGTCCGGCTTTTCTCTTGCTTGAAGTTATTGTGTGAGAGCTTCCTCTCTGTGGTTTCATGTCAATGGCACTCATTGATTTCTACTGCTGCCTACATCCCGTTGTATGCGTATGTCTCCGTTCAACTGTGATGGGCATATGTGTGATTTCCGTTTGGGATTAATACAAATAATGCTTCGGGGAATATTCCCACACCTGCTTCTTGATGCGTGGATTGCCCACGTTGGTGCTGAATACACACCCAGGCGTGTAAACTGCAGGATCGTTGGCTACATTCAACCTGAATACTGTCCAGCAGGCAGGGGTTCTTCAAAGTGATGGTGGCCCTTTAGGGTCCCCCAGCAGTGAAGAAGAGTTCCACATGTTCCACACCCTCACCCACCTTTGACACAGTCAGGATTGTTTTGTTCTGTTTTTGTCATTGCAGTGGGTATATAGTAGTATCTCACTGTGGCTTTAAATGACTAATGAGTGTGGGCACCAATTCACATGCTTATTGACTTATTCTGTTGGCGCCCGTTCAAATCTCTTGTCCATCATGCTCTTCAGTGGTCTTTTTCTTGCTTCTTCATAGGAGTTATTTTTGTATCTGAATATGAGCCTATTGTCTATCGTGCGTGTTGTAAATATCTCCTACTGGTCTTGCCCACTCACTCCCTTAATAATGTGTTTTCATGAATAGAGGTTCTTAAGTTAAATGGACCACATTTATCAATCCTTTCCATTTTGGCTTGTGCTTTTTGTGTCCTGTTGTTCAAAAGCTTTCCCTCCCCGAAGTTCTTAATGATAGTCTTATCTTTGTCTTTTAGAAGCCTTACTGTTTTACCTTTTACACTTAGATCTCCATCTATCTGGAATTTATTGTTGTTTATGATATGTGATGGCAGTCAACCCTCCCCTTTCCCAAATAGATATCAAACAGACAAAGCACAATTTACTACAATCACAGTCTTATCCCTACAGCCCTTGAATGCCATCCTTGTCATGAACTAAGAGTCCATATACACATGGGTCTATTTCAAGGCTCTCTATTCTGCTTCTTTGGCCTACTTATCAATCTTTGCTCTGATATTACCCTCTTAATTACTGTAACTTTATCATAAGTCTTGATAACTGATAAAGTCAGTCTTCCCAACTGTTCCTCTTCAAAAATATTTTAGCTATACTTGCCTTTTTTATTTCTCACCCATTAATGAATCAGTGTGTCTATTTCTACACACACACACACACACACACACACACACACACGAGTTATGGTTTTGATTGTAAGTGCATTAAATCTATAAATCAATTTTGGGAAGAACTAATTCTTTAAATATTGCGTCTTTCAATCCATGAACATGGTATGTCCCTCAATGTATTTAGATTTAAATTATTTTATATTAGATGAATAATATATGGATATATTCTTATTAGAAATATGAAATCAGGGCACCTGGGTGGCTCATTAGGTTAAGTGCCCAACTCTTGGTTTCAGCTCGGGTCATGATCTCAGGGTCTTGAGATCAAGTCCCTTGTTGGATTCCACACTGGGTGTGAAGTGTGCTTAAGATTCTCTCTCTCCCTCTCCCTCTGCCCCTCCACCCCCCCTAAATTTGTACACTCTCTCCCTCTCTCTCTAAAATATGTAATTTTGTATATTACATTAAAAATATACATAAAATATGCTTTTCCCTTCCCAAACAGAGCAATAGTCAATGTCCTTATATACCTACATTCATGCCCATGCATGAGCCTGCGCACACACAGACATTTTGGATGGGATCATATCAATGTGCTGCATGCTTTTTTAAAATTTAACAACATTGTGCAGACATCTTTCTGCCTGTAGCCAGAGACCAAGTGTAATCCCGGCAGAAGTCTACAGACTGAATGCACTGAGCTTCCTGGAACACTACTCTCACCTGTGTGTGTGCTCCTCTAGGAGACTTACTCCTACAAGCAAAGAAACCCATTCGGAGGCTGCTGTAATTATACAGAGCTAACATAATCCAAGCTGGAACGGGGCTGGGGAAGGGGAAGAGGGATGAATTTCCTTTTCCAAAATAACACGTGCTTCCTCTTGGCAGTCTCCTGGGCCTCCCACACCCATGTTAGGCTTGGGGCTGCCATGGATAGAAGCTACAGGGCCCAGCAGAGGGGTGGCCACCAAGGCAACCCTGTGCTTCACCTGTCAGAAGGATCTGAGGCTCAGAAAGCTGGAAGGGCCTCTCTGGGCTCAGTGACTCAGTGGTCACACTGGGCTTCTGACCAAGGCCTGACTGCAAGGCCCTGTATGTGTGTGTGTGTTTACAGTCTCTAGGCCAAGTCTCTTAGCTAATGATGCTGCCCGAGGACACCAGATGGGCAGATCTAGAGATGCCAAAGCCTGGAACCCAACTGGGGCAGATGCTGGAGAGATGGACCCCACACTGGCACCTGTTAGAGGGAGTCTGGCCAGAAGGCTAGACAGTGGCAGGTGACAAGTGTTGTCTGATGAGTCCCCGCTGTCTGGGAACCCTTCTCCAACCAGCCAGTGGCCCCATGCAGCAGGTTGGAGCCAGTGGCCTAAAGCCAGGCCACGTCCCCAGTCAGCAGGGGGCCCAGGTGGGAGTTGGGGGACAGAGCTCTGCTTCCTGGAAACTTGGGAGCCTGGCTCAGGCGAGGAGCACCCCCCCCACTCCCACATGCCAGGCCTCCAAAGCCTCTGGAGGGACACCGGCCACCAGGGCTTAGCAAACTGCCTGTCTCACTTCCCTCCTCCCCCCCAGCGGCCTTCCTGGCCTCCCATTTTGGGTGCCTCTTTTATATTTCTGTTTAAGAAATTCCCTTTTTAAAACTTTTTATAAATAACAGTAGGAACCTTCTTATTAAAAAACAAATGCCATTCAGGTAACCCATTCATCTCCTACGCATACAGAAGGACAGACGTGAATTTTTTTCCCAAACTAAGATTACACCGATCTTCCTTTTCAGGAAGCTCCTCCTACCATTTCTCAACACACTGTGCAGTTCCTGTGTCAGGGGGCATCTGGAGGGATTGCACAATGCTTAAGAACCCAGACTCCAGCGCCAGAAGGCCTGAGTCTCAGACCCTCTCTCTGCCACTCATTAGTTTTGTGACTGAGTGAGTTACACGCCCCTCTGGGCCTTGGTTTCCCCATCAGTGCGGTGGGGAGGCTGGGTGTGGGGACTCAGTGAGGGAGGGCCTAACCCGAACACACTCGGTGCTCAGTGCACTCCAGATATGATGGCAGTTCTTACTTCTAACCAAAGACAGAGCTCAGCAGCCTGGTCGCTTCTCATACCCTAGATTTTGTAGCTGAATCCCAGCCCTGACCTCGAGTCTTCATCTGGGTCTCCTGGGCCTGCCCGATGTCTCTACCTGGCCCCCAGGTTGGTGGCAGTGCTGGGGCCTGGGCTCAACCCCTAAGCAGCGTTCCTGGGGAGTTCTGAAGGTTCTTCTTTGAGTTCTCAGTGACATGAGTAAGGACAGGGATTAGAGAAAGGGAGAAGGAGAAGTCAGAGAAGTGGCTCGGAGTTAGCCAGGGCCTGGAAACCTGGCCCCGGGTCCTTTCGAGTCTCTGCCACTCAGGGGCTCCCTCACCGGGGGGTGTGAGCCCCAGGTCCCTCCTCATTGGCATCACAAGGAGAGACACGGGCCTTGGGAGAGACCATTGGCATGACTGCTCTCCCATGGCCAGGACGGGTGGAGGCCAAGTCATAACCACCCCGCTAAGGAGTTCCTAAGACTCAAGGGCACAGTCGCTGAATTCCAAGAGGGGGTGCAGATGTGGGGTGGGGGCCCCAGTGGGGCTGGGGACCTGGTTCTGAGCTCTAGAACCCACAGGAGATGAACAACTACCGGAAGGCCATGCAGAAGATGGCAGAGGACATCCTGTCGCTGCGGAAACACACCAGCATGCTGGAGGCAGAGAACCGCATGCTGAGGAGCCAGCTGACTCAGGAGGGAGGGGAGGAGGAGCCGGACAATGGCAACAAAGCCCAGAAGCTGGATGAGGGTATATGGGTCCCTGAGAGCATCCCGGTACCTACCTGAGCCCAGGCTCTGGATTGCGTGCCAGGGTGGTGGGGAGATTTTCCAGCTATGCCTGCTCCTGGACACCAGTGGGGGTCCTCTCCGGGATGGGGAGTGGAGATTCCAGTCCTGTCTCGAGTCCCAGGACTGAGTGACGCCTGCCCCCAGCCCCCAGCTCTGCTGAGCTGGGAAATGCCTCTTCCCTGAGCTAGTCCCACCTCCCCCACCCCCACCTCCACCAGTGTCCATGAAGCAGAAACTGCTGCTGAGTGAGTTGGAGCTGAAGAAACTGAGGGACAGAGTGCAGCATTTGCAGAATGAGCTGATTCGAGTGAGCTGAGGCTGGGGGTTTAGGGGAGAGGGCAGGGGGAGAAGAGGGGAAGGGAACTGGGGGGTGTCCAGAGATGCATCTGGGAGCAGAAGGCTTGGAGGGAAGGTGGCACGGCAATGAAAGACTCAGCAGAGGGGTCTTCCCTCCCCCTCCCCTCTCCCACCATCAGAAGAATGATCGAGAGAAGGAGCTGCTCCTCCTGCACCAGGCTCAGCAGCCACAGGCCGTGCTGCTGAAGCGGTACCAGGACAAGTTGCAGAAGACGAAGGCGCTAGAGGAGACCGTGCGGCACCAGGAGAAGGCAGGTGCCACGGGGAACCAGGCGCCTGGGGCCAGCCCCCAATGGCAAGACAACCCCCAGGCCAGCCCAGCCGTTGTGCTCTGCCCTCCAGGTGATCGAGAAGATGGAGCGGGTGCTGGAGGACCAGCTACGGGACAGGAAGGAGCCCCTGCTCAACAGGCTGCTGGGAAAGCCCACCCTGGGTGAGTCTGCTCCCCAGCTTGTCCCAGCCCTGGGGCCTGGCCTTCCAGAAAAATCGGCTTCAGGAACAGAACTGGGGCCGAGGATGCTAGCCCCCTACTGAAGAAGGCAGTGAGGGGCTCCCAAAGTTCCCCTGGGCTCCCTTCTCCTGCCAAGAAGTCCCTTGGGACATGTGGGGACAGTGTGTGAGCCAGGCTAGAAAGATAGTAGGTCCTGCTCAGACCCGCAGATGGGAATGAGCAAACAGCCCCGACCCCTTCCCAGTACTTCCTCATCTCCCCATGTCTTCAAAGAGTCTGCTTCTACCAAACAAGCAGCACTTGTTTTTTCTCTCCACTGACATTAGCCCAAGCCATCTAGAATGGACAGTCTGAGGTGGCTCTGATGAGGGGGAGAACCAGGTCTTGCAGTGCCAGGCCAGCCCGGGCAGAGGATTTTCCTGAGCCATCTATGAGCCCCACCGGAAACCCCCGTGTGCCCAGCCCTGTGGCTGCTTCACTGCAATGGGTGCACTTCTGAAGACCTTAGGAAAACTGTGCGAGCTGTGGCTGCCTTTCAGGAACCCCAAGGTCATCCCAGAGTGGGATGAGAGAAGGGAAGGCAGCCTAGTGAGGCCAAAGGCCCAGGGAGTGACAATGGCAGGAGGGGGGAGGGGAGGAAAGAGAGAGATGAAGAGTTAAAACTGACCCCGGATCAACGGAGGGGAGTGGTTATGGAGAACACAGGGGTCAGATCCTAAGGAGCCTAGAATGGTGGCCTGAGGTGCTGCGATTTGGCAGCAGGGAGCCATTGAAGGCTTAGGAGCAGAGGAGGGGCAGAGTGGAGCAAAGCCAGCAAAGCACTGGGGCAGATCAGGCAGATCAGGCCAGGGACAGGGGCCAGGAACGCCTGTCTCACGAACAGCTGTGGCCACGTCTGCAGCCTTCCCTGCGCGCTCCGCTTCCGGCCTTCCCCCAGGGTCAACGGGAGAGAACCTGCCTGTGGACTTGTACTCAGTCCTGCTGGCGGAAAACACCAGGCTGCGGGCAGAGCTGGAGAAGAACCGCCACCAGTCGGCCCCCATCATTCTGCAGCAGCAGGCTCTGCCGGTAAGAGCCGCCCACCCAGGCCGGGCCTGGGCCTGCCTGGACAGGCCGCTGGGTGCTCAGCAATCACGCGCAGCACAATCCAAGTTGAAGACCACAGTCAGGAGCTAGGCTTTCCAGGGTCTCCAATGTGCTTGGAGACTGGAGGAGTGCCAGCGCTCAGGCCCACCTCTTTCCTCCTGGGGAACGCGCATGGGTGGGAAAGCTCCACTTTGCCCTCCTCTTGCAGCCTAAGAGAAAGCAAGCCCCTAATGGCCCCTGACCTTTGATCCCTGACCCCTTTGCCACCTGGCTAACCTGCACTTGGACTCCACACCAGCCTCTCTGAGCCTTGGAGAGCACTTTTCCCCCATCCCAGGTCGACCCCAGGGAGTTGGGAGCAGGAGGAGACCTGGCAGAGAGCCTGCAAGAGACAGATGGCCCAGGCCACTCCAAGGGCACAGAGGCCCTGCCCGCACAGGTGGGTGCCCCAGCCCCGTTCCACCTCCAAGGCCGCTGCAGGCATCCCTGCTTTACGCAAACCCAAAGACAAGACATTTGGAATTACAGAAGAGGGGTGGGCAGGGGACAGCGGAGGGCATATCTCTTCATGCCAGGACTTGCAGGAGGTGAGTTCTGTTTGAAAGCACCGCTGATGCGGGGACATCTGGGTAAAGTGCGGGGACATCCGGGTAAAGTGCAGGGACAGGGAAGCCCTCACTTTACGAAAAGACCAAGATTCCTTTCTGTGCGCTGCTGCTGCCTAGTAAGTTTTATATTTAGAAAGTGACATATAACCAAAACTCCATATAACCAAAATCCACGGGAAGAACAGCGGTGACCTGCCACCTCAGGTCTACTTCAGGAACGAGGGTTTGGCCCTGGGTCTGAGGCTTTGCATCGGGGACCTGAGCTGGGAACTCAGACCTGGCTGGTCTCTGCCTCAGCAGCTCCCGGCCTCCTGAGCCTACATGGCGGCAGTCCCCTGTGGCAAACTGGTGTGAGCTTCTGCTTTGCCCGCAGGATCTCCTTGCCAGCACCTCCGACAAGTTCAACCTTCTGGCCAAGCTAGAACGAGCTCAGAGCCGGATCCTATCCCTGGAAAGCCAGGTAGATGACCCAGGCAGGGGTCAGCCAGGCTGGGCGGGCTCACCACTCAGCAGACCCTGACCAGAGTCAGGGTCCAAGTGTGACCAGAGTTGTGGCTCAGTGTGTGCCCAGGGTCAGGGCTCAGTATGTTGTTGGAACTCAGGGAGGGTCCATCTGGGCCTTAATCAGACTGTCACTTGGCCCTCCCCACCCACCCCTGCCTGACGGCTCCAGAAGGTAGCGAGCCCACACGGTCCGGGCTCTGGTTGTCCTGTCTGCAGGGATGGGCCCTGCTTCCCAGCAGGTCCCCCCATCTGTCCCTCTCCGTGTCTGCAGTTAGAGGACTCAGCCCGACGTTGGGGACGCGAGAAGCAGGACTTGGCCATGCGGCTGCAGGAGCAAGAGTACGGCTTGGGGCCCTCCTCGAACTCCGTCATCACTGACCTGCCCGTGAGTGATCTCTCTGGACAAGCTCCGTGGGGTGCAGGCAGCGTGGCTGGCAGCAGCCACCCCCGACCCCAAGTTCCTGGGCCCTGAGAAGAACCGGGGGGACCTGCTCCCCACTGGAAGTCAGAAGACCTACGCTCAGTGTCTGCCCTATTACCATCAGGAGCCCTGGCCTGGTCTCCATACCCCACCTGCCCAAGGAGAATAGAAAGTTCCCCCCGCCCGAGACTACCCGCTTCCCAAGGGTGGGGGTGAGTCAAGGGGACATGGCCGTGGATGAACGGCTGCCCCCGCAGGTCTTTCTGGAAGGCTCTGGTGCTGGCTATGCTTTAGCACTGGGTTTGCTCCCAGGCAGAATCGCCGTGGCCCCACCACACTCCAGGGCCCCTGAGGCTGTCCCGTGAGCACAACTTCTTAGTCCCCATGGTGCTGCCCACCTGCCGGGGATGGGGGGATGGCCCCCGGGAGAAGTGCTGCTGGCTTCATCTGCACAAATAGCTCTGTTCACAGATGCCCTTCCCCCCAAGACCCAGCCCCAGCTCAGCCCCAGACCCCGGAGCCTCCCCGATGGCTCCGGTTCCTGAGCCCGCACGGTTCTGCTCCTTCCGAGGCCCTAGAAAAGGCCTGACGAGGATGGGGAGGTGGGCATCAGGGAACACAGGGCTGCCTTTGCAAACTCTCCTGCTGAGACCTAGGGAGTCTTGGAGAAACTGGGTGGGCCTGCTGCGGTTAAACAGGTTTGGAACCCATAGTGAAGGCATGACCCAGTGTGTTTGGATCCTGTGAGGCCTGGCTTGCCAGGCAAGGTGAACTCTGATGGGTTCCCTCACTGGGGGCAGGGACTTACTCGCCTCCCTTTGCTTTGCATACCACAGAACTCCTTGGCCCATGCCAAGGACCACAGGCGACCCTCAAAGCTGGATCCCCTGATGCCCAGCTTGGAGACTAAGCTCAACAAGCCCTCAAACTCTGAGAAGACCTGAGTCTTAGCAGACCTGAGTAGTTGGAGCAGGGCCCCCTCTCTGTGTGCTGGGGAGTCTCATTCCAACCCCCAGAGGACTGGATTAAATGCCATAAGTCAGTGAACATTCACCTCTTTCCTGGAGTAGGACAGCTGAGGGGGCTACCTTCCTCCTGCCGGAACCCACTCTGAACCCGGGCCCTCCACCACAGCCCTATAGCCTCCTGCCTATCCCAGAAGCTACCATTTTAGGAGAGCCAACAGATTTATCTGTTTCTTGGGAATGGAAAGACTTAAAGCCTTCCTGTGGCAATCAATTACATATTAGTGTGAAGTACCCCCATTAACTGGGCTAGGCTAAGCTAGCAATGTTGCGTCCAAATACAGCCAGGGACAGGAAAGCAGATGGGGCCTCGGGAAGGAGCCCTCCGCTGAGAGTCAGGAGGCCTGAATTCCAGCTACAAGCATGCTGTGTGACCTTGAGTGACCAAGCAACTTCTCTGGGCTTCCATTTTCCCATCTATCTCACGCAGAGCTTGCCTTCTTTGATGCTAAGGCCCTTTCCCACTCTAACATTTCTGAGTCAAAGACAACTCAGGCCCAGAGAAGAGAAAGGAAGCAGGAAGGAAAGAGAAAGCCAATAAGAAAGGATTGCGTGGTAGGGAAAAGAAGAAAGGCTCCAAGAGTGGACTCAGAGACTGCAGATGCTCATAGAAGAGACCAAGGCCACAGGGCCACTGTCCTGAGCAAGGTTAACTTCCCCCATCTGCCTGCAGGACTTAGACCTGGCTAGCGGGAGGCCAGGAGGGATCAGGCACTGGGTGAGGTCAGGAAGTTACGGAACTCAGAAGGGGTTAAGAGGACCGAAATTGGGACCAGTGTCCGACAGTCCAAATAACGCACCAGACTTAGCAACGGTCTTCTCGCCTACTGCCCAGAGCTTGGATAAGTGGGCATGTCTCCCTAGAACAGGAAGCTGAGGCCTGGAGAAGCCCAGAGAAAGGTCAGGTGGGGCAAAGAAAGCATGCTGGCCTCTTATTCTCTAGGTCAGCCGCCTCACACCAGACCCTCACTCACTCACTCAGCCTTAGCTTCCCCCAGAACTCTAGCTGGGCCTTGGCAGGAAGTCTCAGGACCCCACAGGGAACTCCCACCCAAGGTCCAGCCAATCAGAGCCTCATTCCTGCTAGGCCGCCCTGCCTAGAAGCCAGATCGGCCCACACCTCTCAGGCCACCCTATGCCTTCAATAGAAACAAGGTCCTTTGTCCCTCTGCCTACAGCTCTGGTAGCCCCCTCATGGTGGCAACAGCCCACCACCGGCCTGCCCTGCATCACCTCTACCCCAGGCAACAAGGAGGTCGACCCTACTGGCTCCTGAGCTGCTGTAGGGGGCGGGAGTCCCAGCAGAGAGGGCTTCAGGCGCAGCTGCCTCGGGCTTTCTCATTCGTGCTCAGACCCCACCATTGACGCAGGCCAGGGAGAATCCCCACTGGAGTGTTGGAAACCCAGGGGGTCAGATAGAAATGAAAACACATCACGTAGTTCAGCCGTTTATTGCCTTCCTGGGGCAGGTGAAGAGGGGGAAGAGGCGGCAGGAAAGAGGGGTGTCCTGGCTGAGCTGAGGCAGCTGACCCCTGAGTACGGACTCTCTCTTCTCAGAGCTGGTCCAAAAGGAGCAGGGGAGGGGGACTGAGGACAGACGAGCTGACACCACCTAGGGTGCCACCCCCTTGGGCCTCCCTCCAGCACCCCTGCTGGCTTGGTGGGTGGCAGAGGCGGAGTCCACCCTCCCTAATCACACCGGGGGTGGATCCTGGCTGAAGGGACTGAAGGTGAAGAAGATGGGCTGGTCGGGCATCAGGATGAGGTTGAACGTGGTGCCCACATCACAGAGATGTTGCATTTCAACTCGGAAGTTCTCCAGAATCTGAGAAAGAGGTGGTGGGCTTAGGGGAGAGATTCGAAGGGGCTCTCTCCCCTCTGGGGCCAGGCTCATTCACCTGTGGGTGTTGCCTGTCGAGTGGGACTCAAGGAGCTCTGAGGGGTCAACACAGCTCCTGTTCACCCGGCCCAGTGCGTGAAATACACCCTGGGTGCTTTGTCCCCTTGATTCGCCTTAGCTTTGACAAAACCTCGTCCCACCGCACACCCACCCTGTCACCACTTGGAGGGAATAGATGGCCAGGGGACACCCCTGGATAATAAGCAGATTAGCCCAAAAGAGGAGGCAGTAGTAGAGTAGCCCAAAATTGTGGGGGAGGAGGAGGGTAAGTCAGGGAAACCGATGTCCCCAGCCCTGTGCTCCCTAGGCTCTGGGCAGAAGTGGGAATAGGAGGGTCAGTGCCTTCCTTCAGGCCACAGCCAGCCCAGGCTGCCCCGATGTCCCCGACTGGACTCACGTGGATGAGGAAGAGGGTCATCTCAAGCTCAGCGATCCGCCGGCCCACGCACTGTCGCACACCCCAGCCAAAGCCCAGGTTCCGGAAGTGGATGAGGTTCTTGTCTTTACCCAGCCATCGGGTTGGGTCAAACTTGCTCGGATTGAAGAAGAAAGTGGGGTCCTGGCCCATGGCATAGGTGGACACCTGCACCAACGTCTGGGGACAAGGTGGGCAGAGGACTGGGTATAGGCCTCACAGCCTGGAGCATAACTCAGCTTCCTGCTCCCACCCTGACCCAGGCTGTCCAGCTTCCCGGCACAAGAGGCTGCCTGCTATGTGACCTTGAAAAAGGCCCCAGCCCTCCCTGAACCTCACCCATCCAGTGGGCCTGACCGGAAAACTCAAGGCCAGGGATGGCCCCAGGGATTGTCCTGCCCTTTGCTGAGCCCCAGAGGGCTCCCAAGACCCAGACAGCCCATGGGGTAACCTGGACGTGGGCAACCTTCCAGAGATCATCCCCCACTATGCCCAGTACCCCTGCCCTTGGCTCACACTTGGACTGTTGCTGCCAAGAACCCCAGCCGCCAGCTCCAGGAAGAAAGAGGGGACAGAAACCCCAATCACCACCATCTGTGTGCGACTGCAGTCCACCCCCAGCCTCCTCTGTCTGACTGGCAGAGCCGGCAGCCCGCCCGGCTGCCCTTACCTTGGCAGGAATCATGTAATTCCGAAGAACCAAGTCATTTTCAAGATACCGCTGCAGGGTCACAGAGATGGGGTGGATCCTGCCAGAAGAAACATTCAGGGCTGATGCCGCTGAGGCCCGGACACCCTGCATGGCGGCTCAGCCCCAGCCACCGCACCCCGGGGGGGGATTCTGGAGACAGGATCCCTACCCTTATTTCCTCCCTCCCCATTCCCAGCTGTCTCCCCCGGACTTCTTGCTGCCTGCCACCAATCCCCTCCCTTGTGCCCTGCCCAGGGATCTAGGGGATGAGGAGGGCAGGCAGGGAGGGGCGGGCTTACCTCAGTGTCTCCTTGATGCTAGCTTTGAGGAGCGGGACCAGCTGCAGCATCGCGCTCACATCTCCCTGGGCCTGGCGCCGGGCGGCCAGGACCTCCTCCCGCAGCATTTCCTGCACCCTCAAGCTGCGTGCCATCTCGTAGAGGTGCCACTGCAGAGTCATGGATGTCTGGCGGGGGGCAGAGGTGGGGGCGGGGGCGGAAGAGAAGGAGGACTTGTCACTCCTGGAACATTTAAACCTACGCTCAACTTTCATTTCCAAGCATCTCTGCCCACCCTCCTCCTCCTTGTATCCAGAGACCACCATCCACAAAAGCAAAACAAAATTCTGAAGGAGAAGGTCCAAAAAAGCCTTTCTCACCCCCCAGAGCAGAAATGTCTGGGCAGCGCTTGTCCCTGTCCTTGTCACCAGAGCCCATCTGTTTCCCCAGCCAGTGGAGTCAGCCATACAGCCAATGCCTTTTTCCAGAGGACCCCCGGAGGGCTTTGGAAGCTAAGTCCTACTTCTGTAAGGGTTGTCATCCCTAATGATGGCCGTTCCACCCCTCTCCCACTAGACCTTCCCCTAAACCTCAGCCTTTGGCTGTGGGAGCATAAAATAAAGTGAGGCCCAAAGATACTGAAACCAGAAGCGCCCGACCTTTCTCCCATAGGTGTTGCAGTTAGCATGGGCTTATCCCGAGACGAACCAGCTCTGCTGGGCATTAGGTGGAGGCAATGACCATTAGCCCTACGCTGGAGGTATGAGGGTCACTGGTCAAGCTCCACAGCCCCAGATTCTTCCATGGTAGGACCCTAGGTGGAAGCCGCCCTCCCTCTTACGGCCAGGACATGTCATCTTACTAGGGATCTTATTTTTGTCCAAGAGGTTTAGACACTCTCCTCCTTCCCTCCAGCAGGCACACTCGGGAAAAAAAGTGCCAGGTAGTCACCTCTCAGCTTAAAACCCTTATGTGGCCCCAGAAGCTCGTGCCTGACCCACAGGGTCCCCCAACACCTGCCCACCACTCCCAGCCCCACTGCTCCCCTCTCTCCGACATGCACCTCTCGCTCTAGCTGCACGGAGCTACGGAGCTACGCGCAGCTCCCAAAGCCCACAAGTCTTCCTCCTGCCGTTTCCTCTTTCTAGAATTCCCCTCCCTAAACCAGGAAGCAAGGATGTACTCTGTCTTTAAGACTCGGAGCAAATGTGTGCATTTGTCTTATTACCTCCAAGGTCTGACACACGAGTGGCTACTCAGGAGATACTTGTTTAATAAAGTAGTAAAGAATTTCCTGGCTGTGTGACCTTGACTAAGTGACTTGAACTCTCTGTGCCTCAGTTTCCTCAGCTAACACTGAGGGGTAATAGTAACGTATCTATCAGTGCCATCTGGGATTACTCAATGAGTTATTATGTGTGAAAAACTTAGACCCCTGACTGCCATGTAGGACAGGCTTCATAAATGCTACCCAAGGACCCCTGCTTTGGTGCAGGCGAGCAGTTTGGAAGATGTCTTCTACATTACTGACCATGTTTAAAATACGCTCAAAGGCTCATCAGCAGCCTGTCACATAGACCCACAGTCCTGTGTTAGAGCACAACACAAAGATGACACCTGGACAAGAAAGTTATTAACACGGGGGATTTGACACCTGCTTCTCCCTGGTCCAGAAACTCTCCTGCTCCTCTCTCCTCCTTGGCACTTGCC